AACAACATTGTGTTCAGCAGGAGTGTTTATTTAAGCTTTTTTGACATGCTAATATGCACTGGACCACATTTAAAAACTAGTTACCTGGTTCTTGGGAAGATGATTTTCTGTTTTCATTCTTGGGGCCAGAGCTCCCCCTGCTGGCTCGAGCCTTCTCCAGATTGGACAGTTTGGAATCATAGGAGGAACGCAGGGCAGCGATGTCCTCCTGCAGCTTTGCTTTGGATTCCTGTTCTGCATTGAACTCAGCCTGCAACTTGGCCAGCCTCTCTTCGTACTCCTGTGGCGAGAGCAGAATACAGCCCGATAAATCACCTGCTCTTTATACAAAGCATGTCGAGATGTGAAGTGATATATGGGTGTGGGAACGGCCTGTAGTTGCCTCTTTAATCTTCTCCTTCTCTACTTCTGTGGTGCTGGACTGTGGCCTTGAAAGAGCAGCAGGGGGTTCCTCAGAAAAGTGACCAGAGAGCAGAGCTGCATGCAAAATAGAAGAAAAAGTAGGATAAAAAGCAGGCGTTAAAAATCACAAAACAAGTAAGCGTATCCAGGTGGAACGTCTCTTGATATCTCTTGGTAGCATAAAAATCATTTAGCAATATTCAAATAAAAATGGCATTTTGGCTTGAATTAAAAGGCTGGTCAAAATAATACTTACCTGATAGGTTAGTGGTGCCCATCTGAACTGAGATAAGGGCCCGCAACTTCTTGATCTCCTCCTGATACTCCCGCAGCAGAGCATCTTTGGGGTCCTCATTGATACAAGGCCTGTTCTGGATGCTCTTGGCCCGGTTGGCATAGCGCAGTGTGCTCAGGGTTTCCTCGTAGTTGTTATCCGAGGGGGACAGACAGGCGATCATTAATGTGCGCGTGTTTCCTCCCAGAGAGTCCTGCAGCAGCCTGGTCAGCTTGGAGTCTCGGTAGGGGACGTGTTTGGAGTGTCCGTCCACCAGCGCAGAGATGACGTTACCCAGCGCCGAGAGGGACAGGTTGATCTTGGTGGCCTCGCGGAGCCGCTCACCTGTAGCACCGGTTTTAGACTGACGCTCACTTCCTGCCAGGTCAACCAGGTTAAGTTTACCTGCTCGTAGATGATCCTGGCCTTCTGCATCTGAGAATATGGGATGACAAAGAACATTGTGAAAAATGTGACTTGTTACTGTTACAATTAGTAAAAAAGACACCCTGAAATTATTTATTTTTTAAAAACCTGCTGGGTCTGGGTCTATGATCATCTCTCCTATTCAGCATTTAAATGTATCAAAGCTGGTCACACTTTATTTTAAAAATATTCACTATTCACACTATCAAAGATTTCAGAAAGTGGAATTTAAAGGGGCCCTATAATGCTCATTTTCAGGTTCATATTTGTATTTTGTGAACATGCTTTAATGTTCAAAAAGGTATTTATTTTTCTCATACTGCCTTTGCTGCAGCATCTCTTTTCACCCTCTGTCTGAAACCAGAGCCCAGTCTGCTTTGATTGGTTAGCTAGACGGCTCTGTTGTGACAAAAAGTATCTTCTTGGTCGAATGCACTTATTGTAAGTCAGCTAAATGAAATGTGATTAGTCAACCTCTTAGAGATGTCCCGCCCCTTCACCTATCATATAGAATGGGTTGGAGCACTAATGCAGGCATTTCAGACAGGGGGGGAGTGCGTGGGAGATAAAATCTCTCTGGAGGGAACTTTGGGATTTTAGCCTTTGCAGAGCATTTTCATGCACCAAAACCTCTATAACACACTACAGGAGGAAAACCCCTGAAAGCATAATAGGGCCTCTTTAAAGAAAGGAAGATCAAGCACATGTTCCTTCATGCAGACAAAAATGCCTTTATCACATATTAAACGGGATGTCAATATGTTTCAACATGTTAAACGTATTGCATCAGTGTGTGTGTGTGTGTGTGTGTGTGTGTGTGTGTGTGTGTGTGTGTGTGTGTTTGTGTGTGTGTGTGTGTGTGTTCACCTGTGTTGCAGATCTCCAGGTGGATGGTGAAGATGGAGTGTGAGCGAGAGGAGTCCTTGTTCATCAGCGTGAAGCCCACTGCCCTGTTTCCCCAGCCTTGCACTATGATTCTCTCACACTCACCCACACTGTGCACAGTGTGCATGGAGAGGTCCCGCACATACACCCCCCGCTCTGGATGCTCTTTAAGCTAAGTATTCATCAACCACACAAAAACACATACACACAATCCAAATCTGTCACCTTGTTCAAACACCTTGACCTTCAAGCAACTACTGTGCTTGTAAGTCACCATGGCAACTTACACAGTACATGCACATTCCACAAAAAGCTCACTGACAGAGAATAGCCTGAGAAGCTATAATCACTTTACTTACTAAAGAGCAATAATCCTTTGGGCTTCTGATTTGTTTATTGAAACAACAAAAGACTTACCTCCAATCTGTGTTTGGTGTCATTTCCCAATAGGTCTCTGATTTCTTCATTGTAAATCTCCAAGTAGGAGGCCCTCACCAGGAATTTTGTATTTTCTGCACACTAGCTTGCACACATAAACACATCAAATGAGTCTCTCGGAGCACATAAAGCTCAGACAAGCCTGGACAGAGACTATATGTAAGAAAAGTCGTAGCCACTAGAATGGCGTACAAAAAGTGCTACCTAAATACTTCTAAAAGACAAATAAATCAATTTTAAGCATTATTATCACTAGCATTATTAGTTTATCTTGTTATTTTCTACAAAAATATTTAAATTGAAGTGGATCCTTTTTCAGAAGCTGAAACCATTGACCAATTCTTTTTTTTATTAACCTGAGAATTAATTGTCACTTTTGTGCATTTTCATTTATCTGTGGATTAAATAAATATGCAAAACGTTCTCTTAATTTTAAGTATAATGGTACCTTTCTTGTAAATTGTGGTGTAGCATAACTTCCATAATTTTTTATTAAATTATATTATATCGTACATTCATTTCCTGTACTGTGTTGTTTATTTTTGTGTTGCTAAATATATATATTTTTTCATCTACCTGTATACTCTCAAAGATGTGCTCAAAGGCTCTTGGGATGACCCCCCTCTGGGCTGTAGGATCGGACACCCCCTGCATGGTGAAAGACTTCCCACTTCCAGTCTGTCCATAGGCGAAGATTGTGCCATTGTATCCCTCAGTGACACCCTGTAAAGAAAAGTATAGGAATAAAGTCTGGCATTAATGACCTTATGCAAGATAATTCTTTAAAAAGCACCCTTCTGACCTCTGAAAGTGACTGACAGCAACCTGTTAAGTAAATAATGAGGTCTGCTGTCATGAGCAATAAGATATAGGCTGTTGTTGGACTCAGGGTGTCCAGTGACCACCAGTGACTACTTTTGTAATGCTTCTGTATATGTTGGCACTGAAAACTAAACAAATTAAAAAAAAACAGAATCAAAAGTGGGTGCCAGAGCTTACCTCAACCAAAGGATAGGCAATCTCGTTGTACATCTGCTCAGTGGTTTGATCAATGAAGTAAGTCCCATCAAAGGTGAACTGTTTGGGCGGCTCGTCCACTGCCCCGGACTTTTCTATGAAGCACTGGCAGCGGTGCGGGTCGATGGAGAGAACCGTGTTAGAGCCGAGAGCCTTCTCCCGGTCATTCAGGGGCCTGCACCTCACAATCACCTTCACTGACTCTGATCCCATGGCTCAACATCCACAACAGCAGTGGACTTATACAGTACCTAGCTAAAGATTAAAAAAACAAAGAACACTGTTCAATTATCATTTCATATACATATTTAACGTAACACAGCTGAGTTGAGCCTCATTAGCTTACCTAGTTTAAAAGCACGCGGACAAATGGCTGAAAAACAGTTCCATCCCGGTTAAAGTCGGTTTAGAAAATCTGACAACCAGAGGATATCAAACACCACCAACAAAATAATGATGGACTTAAAAAGTAAAGTGAGACTTTTAATTTCCTGTTCAGGTGTCGTTATAGGTTCCATTCCATTCTGCACTGGTTCGTGGTTCCTCCCACAGCGTTGACATTGCTTAGCAACCATAAACAACCGTTGACCAATGGAAGCGAACCTACCTCGACCGGCGGCCATTTTGGTGAGGGCAGTCCATTTATGGGCTAATGGTAAGTGCAAGCATTTTATATATTTGTATATCACTACGCAATTATGGTATAATAAGTTAATTTTTTGGACAAGAAAGACCACTACAGACCCTTGACAGATATGTGGTGTCGGCATTTAACCTTATATCCTACTGCCAGCCTACTAGCTAAAGTTAGCCAACTAAATTTGAGTCAGCATTTTTTAATCCATTACACTGAAACAAATTACACTTACTTATTGTTTCCAAATTTCAGAGTTTGCACACTGTGTCCTTGCCATTGCCTGTTTTGTAGTAATATTGCTTGGAGTTACAAATAAATGTTTTTAGTATAGGAGAACATGGGTTCAACAAATAGGTTACCCACAGATGCCTGTATTATAGGTTTCGTTTCACCTTTCATTAACCTATGTGGTACAATAAGTTAATAACTTATGCATTCATAAATGTTAAAAGATTCAGTCTTTGTAGAGAGATGTTGAATATTTTTTACATTTTCAAATGATAACATAATACAGAAAGGTGTTTCTGTTTTTAAGCCACTCATTGGTATTTATTGGGTGGACGATTTAAGAGCAACACCGGTCTTGTGTAAATGCAATACAAATACAACATCACCACAAACTGTAAGCGCCAGAGCAATCATTAAGGTCAACTCACTTCTATAAAACAGATAACAAAAACGGATCATAACCTAAATAGATGTATGATTTATTTAATTATCGATGATTATAAAATAACTAAGTAAACCTTAGAAACTGAGTGTGTATAATTGAACAATGTAATTTAGAGTTCTGCTCTAAGATTTAGAAACGTTGTACAGTATACATTGTCTCATAATACTAAGCAGCAAGTATTATCGTCCTCAATACCAAAGCCACAGGTGATGTTGTGGTATGCAGTCATAAATAATACAAATCAACACTTTTGCAGGAAATTGGTTGAAAACAGAGAACCCCAGTTGTTTAATCTCAAACAGGGGTGAATAATATGAAAATTACCCTATGTGTAAAAGATAGTACAGAATAATCCCATTTATTACCTACATTTAAATGGAACATTTAGGAATAACAACAAAATATCAGACAATCTTATGATAAAGACTTAATTTAGGTAAACTGCATGCAAAAAGTACCAGTTTAAATTAGAAGTAACAAACTTTAAAACACAGAAGAATGACCCTTCTTAGGGGCCATCATACAGGAAAAAGCTATACACTACTAAGGTGTCGAGATATAGAAAAAAATTCAATATCATCATGATCCTATTTTTTTACACCATAACACATTGTGGTGCATAGGATTACTGCTTACATATTCCCCAGGTCTAACGTCTAAACACATTAAGAGAAACATGAAAGCAAGATTAAAATTGGAGGAATAATAACATTTGATCAAATGTATTTGTGCAACTTGCAAGAAATAAAAGTATTCTGTATGACCCAATCAATTAGTTAGGTTTCACGTCTTAAAAACACAAAAAAACTCTTCTAGCCTTTCAGGGCTATTAAAAAGACTTTATCGAAAGACATAAAAAAGCAGCTTTACAAATAAGTACCCCGTTATAAAATGACTAGTATACTATATACATTAAGTGCCAACACTTTTGTGAAGCTTCCCAAAAACACCAAATATGATTTAAAGATAAAAGATGATACATGTGCAAAAATCTAAAAAGTTGTCACTCATTCTGAGGTTGGCATTCCACATTTTCCAGTGTCCAGTGATTAAACCAAGTCCTTTCTGTTGGTACTTTTAATTCTGGCTTTGTTTAGGCTCTTGCGTGGGTTTAGAGGCTGCTGAGAGCTGGAACTCTCCTCCCACTCGTAACAGTGGTTTACCCGGGCACAGCTCAGCAGACACGGCAGCTCTTCCCGAGACTCTGTGTAGTGGTCGATCAGCTCTGCTATGGAACTGAATTCAGTCTTGCATTGCTGAGAGATAAACAAAACGATTACTGTAAAAGTATAAGTAACAGCTAGGGTTACACAGTATCAGTTTGACATTTATAATCAAATGTCAACATGACTCAATTCAGTTTCAGTTTTCACAGATAATAATGTCTGTCTCAGTGTTTGCCTCTTTAACACTCTTTTTACACCCAATACATATCCCTTGGTTTATTAGTAAAACCCTCAATTGCAGAGGAATATGTTCCTATAAGGAATCTAGATTAATAAATCAATGCAATCATGAAAATTCAGCTTCTTTATGATTATCTAAAAAATAGTCAAAAAAGACATGTCTGGTGTGTGAATATATCCTTGGTAGCTCAAATGAATCTGATACATTTGTTTACAGTACAAACTAAGTACAAATGTACCTGGCAGACTCACCGTTTGCTAATAATTCTGTGTAATAATTAACCTTAGCAAAACATTTACCTCGAGCAGGAATTTCCCTTTGTGAGTGTTTCCGATAAGGTGGGTGATCAGGCCAGAGGGAAAGCGGATGATGAGAGAGCCACATTTGGGTTTTTTAGGATGTGGGCACAGGAGGTATGACCCGAGAACGTCGTCTGCAAGCAGGGAAAAGCTGCTGTCACTAAAAAAAAAAAAAATACACATTTAGAAAAACACAGACATATTGCGGGCAAGAAGACGCATCTATTTCAAATGCATGAAGGACTCTTACGTTGCGATACCAGCCCAACACCACACCGCTTGAGCCAGTGCTTCTTCTGTTTCGGCCAAGCTCGGAGCCCGTGATCTCCTCACAGGTATTTTGTCTTGCTCCTTTCCTGATTCACATTTAAAAGAAAAATCAGTGCGAATTTGGAGATGATTAAAAGCTAAGAGGTCAAAAAGTTGAAATATTTCACCAGCCTTGTTTGCGTGTGGAACCATTCAATAAATCCCAACCTCAGTGAATGTTTGGTTTAGAAGGCCCCGACACACCAAAGGAAACCAGAAGACTGTTCGACTCGGCCAAAAAGTCACCCTTTAATACACTGCAGAGAGTACAGCTAACAGCCAATTAGCACGTACAAGTGAGCCAGGACATGACTCTCCATAAGCAGCATGCAACGGTTATTATAAAAAGAGAACCGTAAAACATAGGGCTATAAAGGCTTAGCATACACAAACTGATTTAACATTTTAAAAAGGAAGTGGCCAAAAATAGTGCCAACAGTGCAGGACACACCGCAAATAGTACACCAAAAGATGATAACCAACGGCAATGACCGTCGATCAATAATTGGCTTTGTGTGTCAGGACCCTAAAACAAGATTTAGATAAACAAAGCAGTTGGTGATGAAAGAAAACATTCAAAAGAGTGTTTTAACACATTAAAGCTACTAGTTCAAACTGAGAAGTTTTAAGAACATTTACATCCGTTGTGACTCACGTGAGACCAGAACCACCAACTTCTCACGTGTCTAAATGTCTACCTGCTGACACCACGACAGCGGCTGCCCTTCACCTAAACATTGAGGGGTTTCCTTTACCTCCACAACTCTTTGACTCTTGAAAGCGCTTTGTGAACACTTAGCCCACCTTGTGAGGCACTCAGTTGCTCCTGAACGTTGCGCTGTTTGAGCGGTGTGAAAGTGAAAGAGCGGTAGGCCCCAGATTTCAGCACCTTGTTGCGGATGGCCTTCTTGCGCACCAGGGAGGGGGAGGAAGTGGGGAAGACTTCATCTTGGCTGCTGTTCAGGTCATCGGAAGACTTTTGATCGTTCTATAGATGCAATGAAAGGAAATAATGGGGTAAAAGGAATAATATTATCTTGTATAGGTGAAAATAAGAAGACGTTCAAGTCCAAACCTTAGATCCCGGCAGCAAGCCCTGAAAAGGAGCTCTTCTGAAGGACACCAGGGCGCTGACGCTGAGAGGGAAGCCGTGGTTGAGCAGGGAGGGGTTGCGACGCGGCGCCGAGCCCACAGAGTCTCCCTGAGCCTCCTCGGGGTGCTTTTCTAAGTAAGACAGCTGGAAACAGCGGCAAAGCAGCAGGTTCAGGAACTGTGCCTAGAGAGGAGAACAAAACACAACAGTTCTACTTACATTGTATCATCAATTTTTGTGTTTTTTGATCAACCAAATTCCTAGTAAACATTTTTCAGTTAAGAGCAACACTAACAAAAAACGTGTTCTCTCTTTGGAAGAAATATCACCACAAACTCCAAAACGCTTGACTGACGATCAATGTGGCCAAACAACAAGGTTGGTTTTAAGCAAAGGTTTATTAAGTTAACATGATTTATTTAAGGTCAGAAATGTTTTGATAAGAGTTTGGTAGACCAAATGTGTTTGATCTTGTGAGGGTTTCTTTTGTGTTAATTATAAATGATTTTGATAGCAGAATTATAGTCTCTACAGACCCACAGAAGCTAAATAAATACTGCGTGGGTGTGTCTTTGTTCTGCTCAGTCAATGGGACAACTTACCCTGTTATCATTCATATTGCTACATAGGTCTGTGTGGGTGTGCTGGGAATTTAGGTCAAAGTAAAACCTGGTTTTACTTGAATATTATTGGCAGCACAATTTCAGGTGTGCTGTTGGGTAATTGAATCACCATCTTCCTAAGCATATTGTTAAAATGTCAGAGGCTGTGACAACTTCCTACACCGAAGGGTTAAATTAGGGGCAGATATTTAGAAGTATTTTTATACCAACAAACAGTTCCTGTGTAAGAAAATTATTTACTACCACTATTTATATTCTTTTGTGTAGGATATCTTTTAAATGTGTTTACTGTTACTGCACAATTATTATTGTTTATTTTTTGAAGGTGGCGTACATTTCTATATATCTTTTGCTGGAAAAACAATTTCATTAAAATATATTTGTCAAATAAACAGGTTTCTTTCAAATACAGCACATATTCTTCCTTTGATGCTTCCCATATATACTTTTTTTGTAGGGCCATTATGTCAAAATCCTAGATATTCATAGTTCCACATCTGCCCTAAATTGTTCTTGTGTAAGACACATAACTTAACTATTTCTCCTATCAATATTATACCCAAAGATTCTCACCGCTCTTGAATGCCTTGCTTGAAAGACATGGCAGTAGAGCTGGGCATCAGTGCTGCCTGGGTTGTGGGAGACGAAGGAAAACTGGGCCTCAGAGGGCCAGGCGGTGGACAGAGAGACTCGCCGCAGAGCGTGAGCCATCAGGAGTTTCTGCATACAGTGACACATGAGAAAAACGACTTCATCTTTAATGTTCCAGACTTAAAACAAACTCATTAGATGTCCATGAATGTAGCATGCCTAACGTCTCAATACTTGCCGTTTCATCCTCATTGTACATCTTCACACCTTTGATGGAGAATTTTAGGGATACAGGCCTCCTTCTTTTGCATGTCTGAAGAAAACAAACATATTCAATATTGTATTTTCCAAAAACGGGCACAAGTTGCTACTTTTGGGGATAATCTAAGGCTCAGGGCTTACTATGAGGCACTTCAGCTGAGTGTGCAGCTGCTCTATCTGGTCATCCAAGCAGCAGTCATCCACAGGAAATGAACCCACATACTTCACAGCAAAGACAAACATTAAAGCGAAACACAAACACACAAAAAGACACAAACATGAATGACTTGTTCTAGTTACCTCTGCTGATCGAGTGACTGTACAATCTTCTCCCACCGGTGCCTCACCCATGCTTCTGTTTATCTCTGCAAAAGCAGACATATTTTAGACCTAAAAGCAAAGCCCAGTTAAAATAAAGCTAATTTGAAAAGCTATCAAACAAACAAGCAGATCACTTAGTCAGACATTTACAATAGTAGACTACAGCTGCATGAGGTTTAAACAGGGAAGTGAACGTTTGGCAGAGTATTGTAAAATACAAGACCATCTTGAAATATCAGAATACTTGAAGACAGGTCGTGATTTAGGATTGGTCTGTGGTTTTAAAAACGGGCTTATTAGTCTTTTATCCAATGTCCGAGCAACGTAACCGAGTCAAAGTCGCTGCCAACAAGTGGGAACGTTGTTTTACTGTTTCACTTGTATTCATCCCGAACAGTAGGGTACAATAAATCCAAAATGACAAACGTAGGTGTCATTCGGCTTCAATTTGTTCTGCGTTGCAGTGCACCGGAGCGCCTCGACCTGTTGAAACAAAAGCTTTGAAATCACATAAACTTACTTTCGGAGTTGTTAGACCTCAGCCCGTTCCTCGCGAAGCCTGCGTCTCCTCAGTGGGTCTTCACACGGCGCGTGACACCGACGTCCTGCACCTTTACCTGCTGCCCGAGGCGGGGCTCGAGGGGAGGGAACCGGGGAGTCAGGAGAGGGGGTACGTGAACACGTCGGCCCCTGAGATATGATACACCCCTCTCTCTCCCTGCTGCTCTTTTCTATAAATCCACTTTTTACCCCTCAGCTCCTCACATTCCTACATATTGCGAAATGTACCGCAGTGACGTCACGCGCCCTGTGGTGGGAAAGTCAGGTTCCTCTGGGACAAGCACATTTCGCTATGATGGTTCAAGTATCATTTTCTATAAACTTGCTTTTTTGGTAAAATATTCAATGCTTAAATTAAACTCTCTTAGAAGTTAAGTGAGAAAGATTGTTTGTTTGGACACCTGACATAGCCCTGGGCCCAAAACAAGCACTTGACATATCATTTCCTGCATTTTGATTAATTTTCAATTTATGGTGAAAATATCTATGTGAAAAGAATCAGGCAGCAGGTAACACATATAATATATATAATAGTAGCCTACAATATAATGGATTATAATGCAATAAGGCCGCCAGACTTTCTGTACTGCTTTCAAATATGTAACTGAACAGAAATAGACATTTTAGATATCAATGTGATTGTATGTGATAATCAATGCGTTGAGGTTATGATTCCCCGTATTAAATTGTACGGAAATCAGGATGGCCCAAGTAAATGATTTATTGAACTCTGCTGGTCATCAACCCAGTATTGTTTAACTGATAAGACAAAACACGTTTGAGAGCCCAGCATTTAACCGTTTGCGTCTTCTCTCTTTATGAAGAGATGTGATTCATCCCACCTAGTCTAAAATGCACGAGAGATCTAACGGCTCTTTATATTTTAGAAGAATTTCTCTGACAGCATACATGCTTTACCCTTCCCTTCCGATTTGTTTGGGGAAAGAACATCTTTACATATGCATTTGAAAAAAAATAGCAAACCTGACCTACACATCACTATAAAATATTGTGGTATCTTGTCCAGAAGAAATTATAAAAACGCATACATTCATACCTAATACTACTTAATGTTTTTGAATCAGGACAATTATGCATTGTATTTCAAATAAATCACTCCAACTAAATAAAGGAAAAATAAATAACAGCAAGATTTTTACAAATATAGCCATTTTATTAATGACTTGGAAAAAAAGTTTAACAACACAAGGAATACATGCATGCAGGGTATGTATGAGCTATTGTCCTCCTTGTTCGTACTCACAAGACACATTTCTTACAGTTGGATACTGAATTACAGCTGTGACGCAATTAAATCAATTGATGTATATGCTTGTTTACACACACATCAAAAAAGACATTTTCTCCTATGTGTATGAAATGAAAACTAACTTAGTGTTTTATCATCTGTATTTCCTTAACATGTCACCTGTAAGCCTAATCTTTTGTTGGGGCAATCTTTTGTTAAATAACACATCAAATCCATATTCATAATAATAAAAAATATTTTAAGAACAAATGTCGATACAATTTTAAATCTAATGTAGTACTGCACGGACAAAAAATATTGTCATTTACTCCCAGTACAGGAAAACAACCATAGAATCTGTGTTTTATAAAATATGAATGTCTTTAGGAACAGTTTCAAACTAACATTTTAACTTCAAATGTAATTTTTGCAACCATCCAAAACACTGATATCTCACTTCATTTGATAGGAACTCGTACTGCCAACAGCTAATTAATACACAAGGAACAGATATAAAAATGATAGTTACTAAATGGCTATAGTTACAGATTATTGGACCTCGCTATGTTTCCCGATCTGGCAGCTGATCTGTTTTAACAGCAACACTTACTGAGCTTTCTCTACACATGGTGATTAAAAAATGAAATTCAGGAAACTCTCAACGTACAGTAAACTTGGTAGGATAACGTTCTTATTCTACAATAGAAATAAAATAAAAACTACTGCCCTGTTAAAAAGGGGAGAACATGGTCAAAAGAGAGAGCACTGAAACGAAGCGGCGCCGGCTCAGTTTTTCCCTCTCTTGGACTTACGAGTGGTCGGCTTGCCGCCCTTCGCCCCCTTTTTCGCTGCGGGCCCTTTTGTAGGTTCAGGCTCAGGCTCAGGCTCAGGCTCAGGCTGCCTTTTGTTTGCCGGCTTTTTAACCGCCGGCTCCTTAGGAGAAGACTCTTCAGGCTTAGATCGTCTGGACCTCGTTGTCTCCTTCGTGACTACCGCCTCCTCAGGGGACGAATCTCTGGACGCGGGTCGTTTGGCCCCCCGTTTGGCCAGCTTTTTAACCGCTGGTGTTTTGGGCTTTGTTGCAGGAGCTCCTCTCTTGACGGGCGTGGCTTTAACTGGCGTCTGGGTTTCTTTCTTAGGGGGTGCTGGTTTCTTCCCTCGTCTCTTGGCTGAAGACACCGCTTTCTTGGCCGGAGACTTCTTGGCGAGGGTCCGTCCCCTGCCCTTAGCTTTTGACAGGCTGGGGCTCCGAGATTTCTTGGCCGGTGGGGGGCGGCGAGCCTTGGGTGGAGGCCTCTTTGGACTTTTTCTACTAGTAATTTGAACAGGGAGATGTTAGTTCAGTAGGAGCATAATTATCAACACATCACTTGTAGATGAAAGGTTATTGGAAAACAGTCTCAATTAAAGACGTAGCGCTCGCACACTGACCCCAAATCCACCAATGTATCAAGATGAACAGCATTTCAATGTCAGTTAGGTCATTGACAGACTTTACAAAAATAATAATCGTCCATAAAAAAGGTCAATATCATGTATTTACGCACTACTGACGATCTGAAACAAGAATATATGATTAAATAGGAAAATATTTATTGGAAATTATTATATGTATTATAATTGTTATGGTATAGCTTGGCAACGGTCAATCTAACCATAAATTCATTCGCATATGTGTACAAATATTTAGCTTTAATAGAATTTCTGTTTTCTTTCGTGCTTAAATGTAATATAGTTTTGTTTCATATTACTTACATCATTTCAAATACATTTTTGTGATACAGTCTTGTCTCTGTAATTCAACTTTTTAGCGTACTGTGGTCTTAATCGTGTACAACTTGAAAACGTGGCTGGAATTGAAGAGTTTTCCTTTTAAATCGATTTGTGATTTGGAGTCAGTGTGCAGATAACACTCGTTTGGTGGTCATTTGAAATGTTGGGAAACTGCCTGCAGACTACAATCCTGTGTAAAGGATACAAAGTGTAGAGATTTGTACACCCACTTCTTCTGTACGGGAGCTTCATCCTCAGACTCCTCCTTCTCTTCCTCCTCCTCCTCCTCTTCCTCGTCCGAAGAATCGGCCGCCCGCCTCCGTTTGGGTGCGGGGCTTTTCTCCGTAGGCTTGTTGAACTTGTCTGGGTACAGGATGGTAGGGCTGAAGAGGAAGATACAAATATATTTAAGACAGTATATGGATAATAATATCATCTCTGTAGGCCAGTGCTTCTCAAAGTGTGGTCCGCGGACCACTGGTGGTCCGTGAGTATATTGGTAACATTTCACATTTGAAATAAATACATTTAAGTTTTCCGCACTCTCGCGGGAATATCTCCGCAATGGAGCGAGCTTTCAATTGCATGATATAGCCCAGCGCAACACCTTCATCACACATGTTGCTACTTGTTTGTACCATTTTCAGGCGATTTGTAATCTGTTCTAGAAAAACAATGTGTTTTTGGATATTTGTGGAGTTAGGTGGTCCGCGAGTGCAAAAAAAAAAGAAAAAGTTTTAACAACATGTTTATTTATTGACTTTTCATTCCTGTATAATCATTTTGCGCAAAGATGGCGCTGTTTGTCAGAGCACTTTCATGAAGAACAGCTCCAACGCCTGTGTGTATGGGAACGCCTCTGGTGCTGGTCCATTAACTGCCAGTGTTTCCCACAGATCTGAAATATACTTGGGGGGGGGTTGAGGTGACGTGCAACAACATTAACATTAACCTTTCTGTTGGTCGCTTGTTAGCAGACCCTTCACGCGATGGCAGAGCGAACAGGTACATGCAGGGTCCATAATGATAGCCCTATAGTTTAAATCTACTGCCCACACATGAACATATGGACATGGGTTACTATTTAAAAAAATACATGTATTTATAAATGTATTTAGGAACCTATCCATGTGATTTTTAGTGGGGGTCGACCTCAAATCCTCTAGGGGGGTCCGGGGGCATGCCCCCCCGGTAAGATTTTATTTTTTATTTTGGAGTTAAATGCATCAATCTGGTGCATTTTGAGGGGGAAAATAAAGAGACTAGATCTATGGAAACACCTATATTTAACAGAACTGTATACATTTCAATAATCATAAAATCATGGCCATGACCAATAAAATACCATTTCCAATATGAAAAAAACACTGAAACTTGTTTATTAATTAATTTTTTTAGTTCATTTATAGTTGTGAGTGTGTCTGTGCTCCTGAATCAGCCTCTCCTGTCTCCCTCCTCTCCCCCCTCTCCCCCCTCTCCATCCTCTCCCCCTGCTCCTCTTTGAGGCAGCAGCAAAGACTAGTTTTCTCTCAACAAGTTTTAAAAGTGTATCTTACCTTTTTTCACCTAGTTAACTTTTTATTTATTTATTCATGCATATTTGACTAATCACATTACATTTCATTTAGCTGACGCTTTTATCCAAAGCGACTTATAATGACCGATTACAGGGACATTCTCCCTGGAGTAACTAAGGGCTAAGTGCCTTACTCAAGGGCACACTAGTGGTGGTGTTCCTGGCGGGATTTGAACTCACAGCCTTCCGATCTTCAGCCCACCTCACTATCCATTAGACCAATCACTACCCTCTCAAATGGAAATATGTGTTTACATAAATGGTGACCACTCCGTTTGAGACCCACTGAGAACTTAGACTAAGTTAACTATCTAAACACTCAGAGAGTCCTTTACCTCACCTGAGCTGAGGTTATCCCGAGCTTGAATGACACACAGAGACCAATCAAGGGCTTTGATTTATGATCTGTATGACAGTGGCCATGTCGGCAGGCCACATCATGTGGACAGCCAGTCACCCTGTGTGAGGCAGGCCACTTAACAGGCCAGAAGGAGGCGAGATCAGGGCAAGGGAGCGAGGGATCATTGTCCACAAGTTAATCGATCGCAGATGGCGTCGTGGTCAGAGACAAGAATTTACACTTTTTGACTATGTTCCATCTGGATTTACTCTGACACTGAAACATCTTTATTGATTCTGACACTTCTTCATCCAACTCA